TCCTTCCTTCCTTCCTTCCTTCCTTCCTTCCTTCCTTCCTTCCTTCCCTCCTCCCTCCCTTCCTTCCTCCCTTCCTCCCTTCCTTCCTTCCTTCCTTCCCTCCTCCCTCCCTTCCTTCCTCCCTTCCTCCCTTCCTTCCTTCCTTCCTTCCTTCCTTCCTTCCTTCCTTCCTTCCTTCCACTTTGTATGCATGTGTGTGTACACCGTGTGCATGAAGAAGCCTGAAAAGGTGAGTAGAGGCCACCAGATCCCTCGGGACTGGACTTACACCCTGTTCTGAGCCACCATGTAGGTGCTGTGAGACAATCCAGGTCCTCTGTAAGAGCAGGAAGTGCCCTTTAACCCCGAGTCATCTCTCTAGCTTCTGCTTTTGATCTTCAAAAAGAGAAAGTCTAAATGTTGTGCTTACTGCGCATGAGTGGAGCTCTGGGCTCCCCAGTGGCTCTCTCGACTTCAATCCCAGGACAGAAGCAACAGGCAGGAGGGTCAGAGGTTCAGGATCATCCTTGGCTACATAACCAGTTCAAGCCTGGCCTGGGTACATAGGACATGGTTTCACAAATAATAAATACACACATACACACATATATACATAAATAAATACATGAATAGATAAAATAAAAAGAGCCTAGAACAGTGGTTCTCAACCTTCCTAATGCTGCGACCCTTTAATACAGTTCCTCATGCCGTGGTGACCCCAGTGATAAAATTATTTCCATTGCTGTTTCATAGCTGTAATTCTGCTACTGTTACAAGCCTTAATATAAATACCTGTGTTTTCCGGTGGTCTAAGACAACCCCTGTGAAAGGGTTGTTTGACTCCCGAAAGAGTTGCGACCCACAGGTTGAGAAACGCTGGCCTAGACTGTCCCAGAAGAGACCGATCTGCAAAAGCTCTGGGAAGCCTTCTTGCCAGTCTCCTTGAGGTAGTCAGCAAAGGCTCAGGAAAGAGGGGAAGACAGGCCTGGGCATGTGTGTACCTGGGGAGGCCCTGCCCATCCAGGTGCTGAGAACACCCGGACTCACCCAGGTTCTGCCCCCGCAGATGTCCACCTCCTGCCGCTCCGTCCAGGTCCTCCTGCACTACTTTGTGGGCGCCAACCACTTGTGGCTGCTGGTTGAAGGACTTTACCTCCATGCTCTGCTGGCGCCCACAGTGCTTCCTGAAAGGCGGCTGTGGCCCAGATACCTGGTGGTGGGTTGGGGTGAGTGATGCGACTCCCCTCCTCCTCTCCCGGGGGCCCAGAACGTGGGAGCCCGCCATCAGAGACTTTGGTTGGAGCCAGAAATCCCAACTAGAGCATGACACTTGGAGCAGATGATTTCTCAATACAAGGCTCTCCAAAGAAAATGTGTGTGTGTGTGTGTGTGTGTGTGTGTGTGGTGTGTGAAACACGCATGTGCGTACACAGATACACCCATTCACAAGTACAGGCGCTGTATGCTCCAATGCACATATGAAAAAATGGAAAGATCTTTCGTGCAACCAGATGACAAACCTCTTGCCTTCTTTCCAACCGCATTAGCCTTCCTACGATACCATAACAAAATATCTGTGTGGCTTGAGCAACAGACACTGGTTTCTGAAGGCTCAGAGGCTAATGTGCTTGCATTCTAGTGAGGATCCTCTTCCTGGCATGCACACAACTGCCCTGTTGGCATGGTGGAGAGAGGGAGAAAATGAGTTCTCCAGTCTCTTTTCATAAGGACGCTAATCCCATCTGGAGAACCCTAAGCCAGAATGTCTTCTAAACCTAGTTATGCCACATTCCCCGTTGTCAGACACTAACGCAGTGGTGACAGGTCTTCAGCACAGGAATTTTGAGATGAAAAAATAAAAATCCATCAGTCTATGACAACAAGTATTTGAGAAAATAAAAGTTCATTGTCATTATCACCACCACCATCATCATCATTATTTATTATTATTATCATAAAAGCATGGGCATTGTATCTTGATCTGGAACTCTGGTTTCCACAAGCCCTTGGTCCATTAGAGGACACAGGGCTCAGAGGAAATAAATGGACCCATGATATTTCTCAGGGAAAATCTGACTGAAGACCATGGATTTTTTTTCCAAACTACATTTTGACAGTTCCAAGCCCTTTCTCCCCAGGGTCTAACTTCTCTTACTACTGAGGCGTGGCTGGTCTTGGGCTACTCTAAGCATCTCCAGTTCTCACAGTCTAGGACCTGGTGTCCTGGGCCCCATCAGGCTGGAGTGAGAACAGGCAATTTTAGACAAGCAACTTCTAACTAGCTTCTCTGCTTTTTATACAGCCTTCCCCATGCTGTTTGTTGTTCCCTGGAGTTTTGCCCGCGCATACCTGGAGAACATAGGGTAGGTAATCCACCTGGTGTCAGCCTTTCCTGGACCAGCAATTCCAAGATATACCCAAATACAGGCAACGACATCACCTTTCCAAACAGACTCTTCGGTTTCTCCTACTTTGTCCCTCTAGTGTAACAGATAGTGTCGATAGTCAAGATCATATAGAAGCATACTAGCTACACATGTAAATTATTGAAAGATGCTGTTTGGACCAGCTGTGGTCCTGGGTGCATAAGGACAGAAGCACAAAGTAGTTTTGATAGGTTTGTTCGCATGAGAGGAAACGATTCGGATTGGTGGAAAACTCATTATACACAACGTGGCACTGCTGCCTCATGAAGTATAACACGAAGACTAAAACACGTCAGGAGGCATAAGGTAGTTCTGAATCTCCTAACTTGTAGGAACTGAAACTCAGCAAATGCTTTAAGCCCGTTCCTAAATGATGTGTATCGTGAAGTCCATTTCTCCCTTCAGGTAACCACCAGATATCCTTCATATTCACATGTGGATATACATATATAATCAATGATAATTGAAATAAGGAAAACAAACTATTGGGTAAAGTAATAAGTATCTACAACCCAGGGTTTTGGTTTGCATTGAAGAAAAAGTGGAAGCATCTATGCAGTACGCTCCTAAGGATAAAGAGCAATTTCTTGGTAGGAAGTGAAACAGTTTTTTTTTTTCTTTTTCCCTCATCCCTCCTCTAAGGAGATGGACTGATAGTTATCTTTAAGACAGGCAAGCATCCTTCTTCTACAGGGCGTGAAACTTGGGCATTCATCCTCATCTCATGTGTCTCCTACTCCTGACCTTGTCCTTAGGTGCTGGGCAACAAACGGGAATAAGAAAATCTGGTGGATCATCAGAGGACCCATGCTGCTTTGTGTGACAGTAAGGACCATCCCATCCACCCATTCCATTCACCCTTTTCTTCTCTGGGTTTGGCAACTTCAGGGAGTATCCCTCTATTCTCACCTCCCTCCTAAATCCTCAGATCTCTGGTCTATGAGAGGGGAAATACGATGTGTGAGCAGTTTCTTCTGGGTGAGAAATTAGACCTAAATTCAGGGTAGCACTGCAAGCCTCCAGCTCTCTGCATCTTTAAATGGTACTTGTAGTCAGCTCTATGATCCTGCACCTAAAGGCTGTGATAGGAAAAGGGCTTTGCAGAAACCATGGAGCTATCAGTGTGTGCTTCTTGATTGTTTGTTTGAGACAGGGTCTTGCTACACAGTTGAGCCTGACTTCCACCTCATGGCAGCCCTCCTGCCTCAGGCCCCCCATTGTTGGGATTACAGATGTGTGCCCCCCGCGACCTGCTCAGCTTTTATCTTAATGTCATTAGAAAGTGGGAGGAGGAAAGCAAGGAAATGACTTTCAGAGGAGAAACATGAACAATTAGTGTTAATACAAAACAATTAAAAGATATCTATATCACTTGGTTTTGTTGGGGTGTTTAATACTTGCAGAGAATAGAGATGACCTAGAGGACCCATTTAAAGCATGCTTCTTAAGCTCTTCCACTTGTGACCTCTTTTGCCAAAGCAACTTTTATGGGACCCCAAGTTTGTAGACAAACACAATGTGGCTATAAACCAAACACTGATGGACAGTGATTTATAAAGAAATTTACTTTAAAAGAAATTCTTGGCATATACATGATTTGGACATTTAACAAAATTAAATTTTCATACTAGTGTGATTGATATTGTTTATTTTTACATATAAATTAAATCTTAGGCTGAATATTAGATACTATATTTTCAATTTTTTCAGAGTTGATATTTTGCATTTTATAACTATTAATGTTGAGAATGTCACCATATAAATATGTAGTTCAAAATGACAGAAGTATGTTTAAGGCTTGTTTAGAATGTTTAGAAATTACTGAAGAGTCTTTCCCATCCCAAGCTGAAATTCATGGAGCAATTTTTAAAGTGAAACTGAAATCAGCAACTCAAGCAGCAGCTATTTTGGAAAGGCTTATTTTTTTTTAAAGATTTTAATTATTGTGTGTATGTGTGTTAGGTGTGTGTACATGTATAAGTGCAGGTGCCTGTGGATCTAGAAAGGGTGTCAGATCCCCTGGAGCTGGAGTTACAGGCAGTCGTGAACCACCTAATATGGGTGCTGGGATTTGAACCTGGGTCTTCCGGAAGAGCAGTAAACATTCTTAACTGCTGAGCCACCTTTCCATTCCCTCAAACAGCAATTTTAAAATCAAACATTCTAACGATCCAGTCCAAAGACAAAGGAATTGAATATTTACAGTGCTATAGAATGATGGTAGAGAAACGTGAAAAGTCTTTCTCTTTTCTGTAATTAAAGCATCATCCTTTAAGAGAAGACGACTTTGTATGTAGAGTGAAAACACTGCAACTCATAAAACACAATAGCCCTGAATCCAAGCTGAGGTGTCTCAGGAAGTGTTCACTGGAGTGTGCAGTGAGAGCGTCATGTCTTCAGAAACAAGGCTGCTTCAAGTTTCATGATTTCACGACGCAACGTGGGCTAATGTGGCCAGAAACTCATTAGACATGTGCGTTTAATTCTGAGTTAAGCTTTTGGTCACTGTATGTTCCAGTGTCTTTCGGCCTTCTACACTGAGTGATAGGACCCTGTATAAACTTGTGGCCCACAGTTTAGGAAGCCTGGACTTAGACGAGGGTGTGAGGATGAGCTTTGCTGAGGACGCTGGAGGAGCAGTCAGGGGGCTAACCATCACTGGGCTGACAGGTTCCACTGACAGTTGGAGACATCTTCCTGCCTGCCCCTGAGTGCCCACTGGCTAGCTAGCACTGTGTTCCATGTCAGCGCCAAGGGGTGGCTGGGTGGTCCGTTTTGGCTCCTTTGTGCAGATAGCATAGGACCTTGAAAGAAAAAAGAGAATAGTTTTGTAGAAGATTGTTAGCATCTGTCAGCAACTCAAGGAAATTCCTTGCTTAGATACGGCTGTGACCTGGAGAAGAGTTGTGCATAGAAATGGTAGGAGCACCAAGGATGCTTGGGGGGGGGTAGTTGCAAGTGACATGCCCACTGTTGGTACCTTTCCTTTGTTATTAGTCACTTGGCTGAGAGCGAACGTTCTCATGTCCGACTTACAGGACTCTGAGCCCTCGCCTCTCCAGTCATCCGGTTCCCAATCATTCTGTTCTCTCTGCTCACACAGTCCCATGGGGGAAACCAAGCACCCATTTCCCACCCTGGCACCAGTACTGCTGCCTGGTAACATTTACTGAGTACTTCCAACCAATGCCAGCTCTTCCGTGTTTTGAGTATATGAACTCTTCTCAATGAGCCCACAAAGTTGAAGTGCTATTATGCTTATGTTTTGGGAAGGACACTGACAAGCTGAGACATTACTTGCCTCAGTAACATCATAGACCAAGTAAGGTGAGTGACTGAGTGATAGTTCCACCCGTTGCTCCTCAAAACAACTTATTTCCTCCGGGCCTATGCTTGGCATGCCTCTGGTGAATATCTTTCAGGTATTAGTCTATAGACTTAGACACCCTGGGTCTGTAGGCATACTTTATTTAAAAAAAAAAAAACAACCTCTTTTATTTACGTTTCTTCTATCTTTTTCTCCCTACTCCACCCCAATCCCTTCCAACAGCCCAGCATCAGGTAGGCGATTGAAAGGGTTAGTGGGAGAGGGGACACGCTTCTTTCTTGACTGCTTCCAGCTGGTTAGGGTCGTCGGGTTCCTTGGAGCAGTCCAATCCTTGTTTCAGGAGATCTCCACGTTCTTGTTTCACAAACAGCAACCAGGAACCGCAGCAGGGAAGCAGGAGCAGCCTTGTTCTTTCTCTTCCTCCACTCTCTGGGCTCTGGCATTTATTCCCTCTCCAGACTCCTCAGATTTAAACTATATGCAGCTGGCAAAGAGCTCCTTTCAGAGCCTGCATGAGGCAAAATAGTCTGCTGCTGTGGACCATCTGAATCAGTTCCACATCCCACACCTGAGACCAAAACAAAAACCTGTTTGTATCCACAGCAGGGGTTCTTGCTGATTTTCCCAGCATCTTATTCACAGGGGTGGGGGTGGGGTGGGGGAGAGAGAGGGGTGGGGTCTAGTGTTCATCTTTCAGGTCTTGGGTCAAGCACCAACTTCTGTATGGCACTGTGCCAGGACACTCTCCTCCATGGATTCCATATTTCCTGGCTTCTGCTCCAATACCTTCCAGTACATTTCAAGTATTTCTTTAGGATCTGCTTGCTACTTATCCTAGCAGCCAGCTTAAGTATATGGTGGCCACTTGGCAAACACATTTAGTAAAGGATTGGACTCCATGCTCTGAGCTCTGAGAGGTACTTGCTAACCAAGTAGGAAAAAAAATTAGAGAGAAGCTACAAATCCTCTGTTAGATAGAGTACAAGCTCTGTCTGATTAAACCACTGATATTTATTCTACCATTTTCTGGAAGCTTGATTAATAGTTCTCAATTGCTGTTGAAATCTCCTGGATTGTTTCTGCAATTCCTTGTGGCTCAAGTTCCACTGTAGATACTTAGGTTTTCACTGGACTCACAATGGCCTGTGATCTAGTTTGTAGCTGGGATTGAAATGCATCTTGTTATATCCTTGCTTTTCCAAGAATGGTCCTTGCAGCAGTAGCATTAGCAGCAGGCTCCAATGTGCTTATTATCAGTTCAGTGGCTTGACTGACTCTGCTGGCTTCTGCCAGTCTTTCCTGGCTCCTGGAGTAACATCCCTCCTTTCCCGGACAAGAGCATGGTGGGTCTTTTTTGTTTTTGTTTTTTTCTTTGTTTGTTTGTTTTGCCCTCTCAGTTTGGATAAAATGATCTTCACTTGCTGTTGTTTCTCTAACGCCAGTATGATTAGCTCCGTATTCACTTTCGCTCACCACGGACACCTGATGTTTGCGTCCATCTTTCTCTTCCTCTTGCCCTCTCTATGCAGTGAGTGACTGCACCGCCCATCACCAGACACTCAAGCCACAGCATTTGGTGCCCTCCCAGATCCTATCTTTTTCCTTCTTCCTGGACTTCAGATTGGTGTTGTTCCTTGGAGGTCCTTTCAAGTCACCTCCTTCTCAGCTCCACATTGACTGTTTTTACTCAGCCCTCCTTTGGAGTCCTCTGCAAACACTTCTTGATTGATGCCCTTCCTTCTTATCCTTGGTGATCAGGCCTCCTCACTGATCACTTTGGATCACTTTGGATCAGTGAGGAGGGATCACTTTGGAGAAATATCAAGCTACAGTTTTCTTCTGCCTATGATGTTTCAATTAGCCAAACTGAGTACTCAAGGTTGATCTTTAGTGTGATAGATGTTGCTGGTCCCTGTCGGTTTGACCACAAGCACCCCACATTTCGCCTGGGTGGAGAAACTCAAAGTTTTCCTTCTCAGTTGGGATGTTGTATTCCTTCACATCTGACGGTCCTAGTAGTCCTCCTTGGAAGCTAATACTTGAGCTGATCTTTCTATTCTGTCGACTAGCAAAAGTCACCAGACATGTCTGGAAAAGATAGTTTCTATAAAGGTCTCAGGGAAAATGCTGTTTAACCTCTACTGTCTGTGTCTACAGGGATTTGGCCAAGAGGAATTGACCTTGAATAGAAACTGGAGGAGTGTTTCTTTCGTAAGAAAAAGACTGTTTGCTATTAACGGGCAGAATACAGCATTGACTGTGGCCTTCATGGCTGGTCATATGACTATACATTGCCACTCTCCACTAATCTGAATAGCCATCATTCCAGTCTATAAGAAGATTCGGGCTGTAAAGGTGGTTCAGAGCTTAAGAGCATTGGTTGTTTTTCTAGAGGTCCTGAGTTCAATTCCCAGCAACCAAATGGTGGCTCATAACCATCTATTATAACATCCGGTGCCCTCTTCTGGCATGTAGGAATTCATGAAGACAGAACATTGTATAAATAATAAATAAATAAATCTTTAAAAGAAAATTTACTGAATAACAATATGAAGAGAGCCGTGGGTCCCCAAATAACTACACAGAACAGAGATCCCCACTGCACTAGGTTGTGACATAGCGAAAGGAAATACTGTGTTAAGAAAAAAAAAAAATCCCTGACCTCCGTATATATTCTATTTAGGCTGAAATTCTAAAACAGTGGTTCTCAACCTTCCTAATGATGTGACCCCTTACTGCAGTTTCTTATGTTGTGCGTCTTCATCTGCTGCTCCTAGTGTCATGATTCTTGTGTTTCAGAAATGCCCATGCTGTGACAAGCGGGACATCTAGATGTTCTCTGAGTCTTTCACCAGAAAAAAGAAACGGGAGAATTCCTCCCTTCTTTATTCCTGTCATTTCATAGAACTGTGCTCTTAAATTAGCCTCTCGTTCTTGTTCTGCTGGAGTTGAGTCACACTGGCACACAGTGAGTTCTTGCCTCTTAGCCACCATCACCTGCTGGCAAAATTGTAAAGCCACAATTACTCCACTCCTTTGAGGGAAGCCTCATTACCTAATTACATCGAGAAAGGTCTTTGCAGCTTTATCCTGCTCCCAGGAGCTAATAGTCTGACCATATTGGACACCCAGTTGAGAGGGTGTTCAGCCAGTTAGTTGAATGAATTGTCCATTGATGCCATAAAGGCAAAACATCATTTACCCCCATTCACTCCTCTGACAGGTTAAGATTGTGACAATGCTGAGAAATGGGCAAAATTACTGCTCGTTTTCCTTTGTCCATCTTTAGATCTTCTGTCTCAAGAGGAAGCAGGTGCTTCCTATAGCTCCTGGTCTCCCAAGACATCAACTCTCTTCTACACTGTTCTCTACTGAAGAGCTGAAGTGGAAGCCTCCCTACCTGCCTTGTCCCATCATCTGCCATCAAGAGCCTCTTCTGCCTCTACAAGGAAAGTGGAGAGATGAGATGTCGCTTTCACACATCTCCTGTCCACTCCTGTCCTACCCTTTCCAGGTTTTCTTTCACAGACAAGCCTCAGCATGCATTTCAGCCTAGCTTATGGGCTGCTCTCTGCTCCCAGTACTGATTGGGAGCTCTGTCTTTCTAAATTCTGTCTTATTTTGTTTACCTTCACTGCTTTTCATGGTGAAAGTAAATCAGATCATTTGGTTACTTTTTTTTTTTCTGTGATAAAATACAAAAGGTTCCATTATGACAGCGACGTGGTGACAGGGAGGGAAAGCAAAGCAGCCTGAAAAGGAAGCTAGTTGGTCACAGTTTCATTCATGCTTGGAAAGTTAGAAACAACAGGAAGGAGGGTGGGTCTATACGCCCTCACAGCCTTGCCCTAGGGTTGTACTTCCTGTAGCAAGGTTCCACCTCCTAAAAGTTCTGTAACCTTCCCAAACAGTGCCATCAACTGAGGACAAAGTGTCCAAACATGAACTGTGTGTGTGTGTGTGTGTGTGTGTGTGTGTATGTGTACATTTGAATGAGAGAAAGGAGACCTTCCTCCATGCTCTCTGAACCACTCCTTACCTTCTACAGAGCATGTGCTTTCAGCAGAACATTTGGGGAAGCTATGTTTGGGCCTGAAGGAGAGGTCTTAGAGATGTAAGCATTTTTATTCATACAGCAGGCAGAAGGCACCAGGACTTGACAGATAGGAAAGATTGTTGGTAATATGAAGCCAGCCCCAGAGCAGCTGCCATGGTAGAACTCACCACTCTTTCCTGTAGCCCCACAGCTGTGTACTGATGCTAGGGTGTCAAACACGTGTCACCCGGGAGGTAATGGCTGCAAAAGCAGCTGCAGGGTTCAGGCCCTGGAAGAGAGTTTTATATGTTTGAGGTTCTGAGTGTTACCTACTTTGTCACACATTCCTAGGGGAGCTAGCTTCATTCTTGAAAACATTCCTCATTTATACCTTCTCTGATGGTACACAAACGAAGAACCCATCATCCAAATGTGGCTGCTGTCTCTTAGACCTCTGGAAACCCGGAGGAGGCCAGGCTCCATGGTTACTGGAGCTGGCCATCCACGGGGACTCTAGGGAGGTGCTTCCTTCATGTGGCCCTTGGTTCATGCCCATTTTCTCTTGTCCAGTTTCTGGGAGACACAGAGAGGAGCAGATCCACAGGCCCTTCGTTTCCTAGGAGATGGTCCAGACTGCAGTCCATTGGCTGAAAGATGTATCGTCCCCATTAAGCTTACTTTGTCAGGAAAATGCCCATGTTATATATACAAGTTTCTAAGCCAAGCACGCAGTGTTTTCTCATTGTGATGAGAAGCAGATATCCCATTAAAAGGGATAAATTACTTGTTTATGGTTTCATTTGAATATTTAAAATTTTCTGGTACTAAATCTCCTTTGGCTGGGCACTGCCTTCGTTCCTGTTGGTTTATGTTTTAGAAACTCCGGCTTCTTTAGCACTGAGCATTGAGTCTCTGAGGCCAGTGGAGCATGGAGGAGGTACATATGCTGCATTTTATAGCACGTGTTTCAGTCTGTAGGCTTTTTCTTCCACCTGGGGACATTTGTATTGTGCTAGGTCAGTGTTTGTAGAGATTTAATTCCATGGCTTGTCACCTGATTGCCCTTTCTATCAGCTCGATTCCCATTGCATGGGAGTCTTATTAAACCTTCTCCATCTTAGAAAAAGTCCTCCACCAAAGCCCCTCTCAGCACTCTAATGGCTTCATGCTCTGCTGAGGTCCAGACATGAACGTCTATCTGCCTTAAAGCACCTCTTATGATTGAAGCTTTTAGACACATTGTCCTCCCCAAATCGCCAAAGCCCTTCCCCCACTCATGGCTCCGTTATGGGTGAATGACACTACCACACAGTGGAGTGTGAGGTGTCAGCTCATCTTTGGTGTCACAACCCACCAGCATCAAAGTTCATCTGACACACCCTTAGTAGTTTTACACGAGTCGCTCCTCATTATCACTGAAACCTGCAGGGCAGCCGCCTGAGTTTGCCCATCCATCATCTTCCCCAGGAACTTGGAAACTGCCTCCCAACTGCTCCCCCTCCTCCAGGCTTACCCTTACCTAATCCGTCCCCCCTCACTGCTGCCAAAAACGGTCTTCCTGAAAAGGAGAGGTTCCAATCTGATCAGGTCATATGCCTGTTTAGAATTTATCCCTGGTTCTCCATTACCTTCATGAGAAAACCCAAGCCCTTCAGCGTGACCACGTGACCATGCAAGCCTCTTACTGGCTAGCCTTGCCTTCCAGTCTCCTCACAGACCATATGTTCACTATCCAAGTTCATACTTAGCCTACACCCAACACTTGTAGCCTACACTCAGCCACTTAGGTTTTTTTTTTGTTGTTGTTCATTTGTTTGTTTTTACATCCAGCAGACACATACTCTCTCTTGAGTCAAAATATCAGACAGAGATGATGCCATAGAAAGGCCCTGGAGGAGAATCACCCCCAAGGTATTCACACACTATTCACACACACACACACACACACACACACACGGCTGTGGAGAACTGCAGGCCATTGGGGGGAAGACTTAGTTCTCCCATGTGGGACTCCTCTCACACAGCATGGTGGTTAGTTTCCTCAAGGCTGAGCAACCCCAGACAGAGGTGGTGGGGAGAGGAAGAGAGAGAGAAGGAGACATCCCTTTTACCATGTTTTTTTTCATTAGCTCAAAGTAATGAAGTGTAATACATACACAGGGTGAGAGTGAGGGAGGGAGAGCAGGGTCTCCTTGTTAAAAGGAGCATCAAGGAATTACAGTGAAGGTCTAGATTTGTCCAGTCTGTGATCATTGTGGGAAAGAGCCTCGAGAGTGCAGGGCAGACACTGCTCAGTGAGTCCGCTGCAGACCTGGTCACACAGTAAGAGGGCCCTATTGGACACACTGGACTGTTCACGTGAGGGAAGCTTCAGTCATAATCACCTGCTCAGTCATGCTGAGCTTCACTGTTATGCTATTCTCCTCTCCCCTGCAAACACAGCAAAGTTTTGTGGGGACAAAAAAAACCCCTTAACCATGACAACTTCAGAGGGTCATTTTGAAGATTAAATGAAACGGTATGTGGAAAGTTCTCAGCTCAAATCTGGGGTTGTGAGAGATCAATACATGTTACTTAGTAATGATACTGTTTGTCTTTCTCACACTGCTGAGTGCTGGACCTCTCCCAGGCAGGGTAAAGCAAAGGATACTCCAAGTTACCTCTCGGGGCGGGGGGGGGGGGGGGGGGTTCAGTTCAAAGAGTCTTTGGGACAATGGGGGTACCTAGACACTTCCTGTGTGACCAGCTAACTGCCAACTTGCCCCTGGTTCACGGGAGGAGGCCACGCCAGGGTGACCTGGGTGCCCACAGAGTGTGGCACACACCCCTTACTTACCTATATCTGCTTTTTGTTTTCCAGGTTAATTTCTTCATCTTCCTCAAAATTCTCAAGCTTCTCATCTCTAAGCTCAAAGCCCATCAGATGTGCTTCAGAGACTATAAATACAGGTGAGTGGCGGAGGCCAGCGCGCAGCAACCTGAGGTGATCTTGGTGTCACCCACGTCTTGGGAAGGGAGGGACAGTGTATCCTTTACCTGTCTCATTCCTGTGACTGAATCTTGGACACAAAGCAGCTTAATGAAAGAAAGACTTATTTTGGCTCCCGGTTTGAGAGCGCACAGTCCATCATGCCTGGGAAGGCTGTGGAAGCAGCTCACATCCATGCTGGTGAATGCTTGTGGCTCCCTGTCATCATCATCTCTTCTCAGTAGAGCAGGCAGCAGAGCTCTCAGGCCAGAAGTGTGGCTGGGGTATAAGTCTCAACCACCAGCCTCTGTATCCCTACGCCTGCCAGGTAGGTCGAATATCCAACGGGTTCTACAGGCTCCCAAAAGTACACCACCAGCTGGGGTTCAGGTATTTAAGCAGGTGAAGCCATGGAAGACAGTCCTCATTCAAGAGATAGCACACAGATTGGAATTATGTATTTGTCTTCTAAGGTGAGGGGACAGAGGGGAGCCCTTCCCAATGGGTGCTTTTTGGGTCCAGGTGAGACTTTTGCCTGGGACTAAGCCCTCTTAACCTCAGTCAAGGACATATTAATCTCCTCTAAGGAGACTGTGAAAATGAACGGTTGTCTTACTTTTCTATTGTCTTACTTTTCTATTCTAAAGAATAGTTACTTTTCTATTGCTGTGATAAGTCACTGTGACCAAGGCAACTTGCAGAAGAAAGAGTTTATTGGGGGCTTACAGTTTCAGAGGGTTAAAATTCCGGCCATTCATCATGGCTAGGAACATGGCATCAGGCAGGAAGCATGCCGCTGTGGCAGGAGCTGAGAGCTTACACCTTGATCTACAAGCAGGAAGCAGACAGACCCTGGGAATGGCATGGGCTTTGGAAACTTAAAAGCTAACCCCTAATGACACACCTCCTCCACCAAGGTCATGCCCCTCCAACAAGGCCACACCCCCTAATCCTTCCCAAACATCCCACCAGCTGAAGTCAAACATATGATCTTATGGGAGCCATTTTCATTCAAACCACTACCATGGTCTAGGGAGCTAGAAAGCCTTGTGTGAAGAGCAATTTGTGTTCCTTGTGGGATAATTTAAGGCAAGGAATATTTAAGTCCACAGAACTGCACATGTCACACAGAGCCCTTTTCTTTGTGATTCACTTTTGTGGTGGCTCACCTTTAGATCTCTGTGGTGACAACAGCCTCTGTTCACAATAAGTCAGATGACAGGTTTCTACTGAGTACTGTACTGTGTGAAAATGATGAATAAAAGAGGAATGAACGGCAGGCAAGGCCCTATATCTCTACTTCTAGTTGTTCTTCTGGCATTGACAGCTAAACTTCACTGTTCTAATCTAAAGAAAATAAAAAGGGATTTTAGTCCAGAGGGCAGGCCACAAACAGAGGGTGTGAGTGGAGACGGCTCCGGCCATGCTGCTCACTATTTCTAAGATGGACTTTGGTGATGAAAAGGTAGATTACCCCCACCCCCCTCCATTAACTAGGCAAACTTTCCCTGAATGCTTTCAGTGAGCTTGAAAAGGTTAGTGTGATGTGGGCCCCATACCATGCTTTGGGAGAGAGTGTGGTACTTCAGCAATGACTGAGACATTGATATGGAGTAGACAGGAGGGAGGTGCAGGCCACACCTCAGCTCCCTCACTGACCTTTAAATAAGCTTAGCCCCTGAGGCCTGTTTTATGGCATGTAAAATGGGAGTGCTGTAGCCAACCCATCTCCCATGAACTGTGGCAGCAGAAACACATTGTTTCAGGGCAGCCAGTTTAATCAGATATGGAGGGTAGCGTTTGCTCTAGACCTAGACCCTAACCCATCTTCCCTAGACTCTGACTCCAACAGATCTAGAAGAGTAAGCCTGCCCAATTCGGGAAGGTGCATATACGTATGTACTGTAATCACTGCTTAGGGCTTTCATCCACACATTTGGCAGAAACCCTTAGCCTTGGGGAACTGGCCTGGTCTGGGCCCCAGGGAGTCGTGCTATCTCTCCTGGCGCCTCTAGTCCAGACTCCAAGTGGCCAGGCGGCCCCTTTGGCCCCATTCCCAAGCCTCAGCCTTCTCACACCACTGTTCTCAGGGTAGAACTCTAAGGACAGGCAGGGCTGCCAGAGTCCACTCAAGGGGTGCCACCCCTTCGCTAAGCAAGCGCTCAGACCACAGGACACTTCCAGAAACTGCACAGAGGCAGACAGAAGTAGAGCAGATGAAACCTGTCTTAGCTAGGGATTCCACTAATGTGATAAAACACCATGGCCAAAGCAACTTGGGGAGAAGGGATTTATTTCATTTTACAGCTATAGTCCATCCTCTGGGAAAGTCAGGGCAGGGGGTGCAGAAACTCAAGCCAGGACTCTGGAGGCAGGAACTGACGCAGAGGCCAAGGAGGAGGGCTCCTCACTGGCTTATTCCTCATGGCTGGCTCAGCTTGCTCTCTGTTACAGCTCCCAGAACCACCAGCTCAGCAGAAGCACCTCCCACAGTGAGATGAGCTCTCCCACATCAATCATCAATCAAAAAAATGATTGATGGGACAGTCTGGTAGGGGTGAATTCTCCGTTGAGGTTTCGTCTCTCCAAATGATTCTGACTTGTGTCTAGTTGCAAATCAAACTAGCCAGCACACATGCCATGAGGCCCAAAGGCTGATGTCTATGGCTTTGTTCCCATCCGAAGTCCAGCATGTTTCCCTGGGACCTTCTCTAGACAATCAGTGATTCCTAATAGCTGTCTGGTTTAGCTATTATGAGTGTCTGCTGAGAGATGGCTTGAAACACAGCCTTGTGGTCCCTGCTCCTGGGTGGTCCACCCTGGAAGTGTGGGATAGAGTCTTACTGTGTAGACTTCTTAGAGGCTTCCCCAGGGGCCTCACATAGATGCCAGGGCAGAGGACCACTGACCAAATGTTTCAGTGACTAGCATGTAAGCTTCCTTCTCAATCACGGTGAATATGTTTCTGTATAGCCACTGAGTGACACTGATCTAGGAAAAGGTAGGTTAAGATACTGGGGAAAACCATGTGGCTAAGCAATGATCACATTGAATGCTTTGAGCTAAACAAGAACTTTAGCTGACATATGCAGTCTGGAGTTTGCCTTTTCCTCTTCCCACTCTTGTTCAAGGAAAATGCCTGAGAAGAAGAACACTGTGTGAATCTACCCAAAGGCTTCCCAGGGGGAGAGGCATCACCTTGGGCAGTTAGCTAGGCTGTGTGCATTTTTGAAGTCTGAGGAAGACGGAGGTAGGGTGTTCCGCTCTAAGCCATCATGTGCTTCGTAACATTTTTTGGTCTCAACAGAAGACACACAAATCCAGGTGTCACCGGAATAGTGCTTGGTGAGCTCTCTGCCAGAGCAGAGTGGCGGTGTGGGCTGGTGTCCGAGACCTCATCCCAGCTCCCACCCGCAGCAACTGGCTGAGTAGGTGGCTCACTTCTCCAGCTAGCTTCCACAGAATCAGGTGTGATGCGTTGTCGAATATATTCTCGTTTGGCGTCTTTCTCTGACATTCTGCTTGGCCGTGCCTTTTCTGCTGACTCCCTCTTCCCAGGGAGAGCACAGCCCGGTTGATTAGCACGCTCTATCAGTTTTGTGGAGCATGGGACTTGTCCCTGAAGACACAGCCATGCTCTCTGGACTGGAGAACCCTCACAGGACCTGTGAGCTTGTTCGCTCATTTTGCTCTTGGGAAGCCGTGCTAGTTGCCGTATGAGTGGGCATCGCCATGCCTGTCTCATACTGCCCTCTTTTGTGCCCTGTCCATGTTAATTTTTCAGTGAGGCAAAGATGGGGTCATGGTGTGAGTGCAATCCAGGGGACACGAGGCTGCCTCCGGCACTCAGAGTTTGAGAACTTTCAGAATGCAATGCTCAAGCTCTGGCCCCTCTCCAGGAGTCTATTTTAAGAAGGTTTAAATTAAACACACATAGACCTCACTCAAGAGGCAAGTTTCTGACTCTCTGTCTTCCTAGCTCTCCCCATGGGCCTCCACCCTCAGGTAGAGGAGACAGTAAATGGTTCTACTATCTGACTTGGAGAGGGTAAACTGAGGCAAGGATGAAGGGCAAGCACCAGAGGCTAACAGTCCCTCAGCCCCTCCCACTTCACCATTCTCTGTGGCTCCCAGCAGGGAGACAGCTCTCTTTTCCTTTATTAATGGCTTTACTCTCCGTGTGATGTGTGCAGCCTGAGCTTACCATGAATCTATAGGGGAGAATGGTGGGACCATTCTTTTTTCTGAAGGGAGTTTCTGGTGGGCAACCCAAAGGCAGAAAGATTCTACTTTGACTCACAGAGACCTCAGCTTGGGTCTGAAAATTGTATGGATTAGATAATGACAGAAAGAAATGCACACAAATGTGGAAGTTTTGAGTGGAGAGTTTCGTGGGAGCCTTCCCAAAGCAATGAAGACACACACAAAAAAGTGATAAAATGTCTATTTTAACGCTAGGTTTGATAGAGTATGGACAGTCAGGGGGAGATGTTACTGGACAAATGAGGTGTGGTCCGATGGTAATAGACTGGGGCATGTAGCAGGACCTGTGAGTTCAGCTGCTTCCCTGCAGTGCTCTTTCCTGTGGGAGAAGGGAAGGAACCTTCTCAAGGAGGGTCTTAGACATGCGTGAGGGAAGGCTTGGAAAATCCGTCCTATGTTGCATGAACTGCTACAGGAGAAAGAGGTGTGCACTATTATTAAATCCCTTCAGCTTGTCTCACTCAGCCCACCAAGTATCACATTTGAGTCTCGTATCTGAGCCCCATCAGCAACAGAGTAGTGACGTCACAAATATGGAAGTTAAACTGACAAGTCATCAGAGCTATAGCACCTGCTATGCCAGGGTCTTAAGTGTCCCCTAGTATTGGATGTGCTGAAGGTTTGGCCTCCAGCCTGTGGCACTTCTGGGGACAGGGTGTAGAACTTCAGGAGGCTGAGCCTAGTATAATGAAATTGTTCCCTGGAAGGGGATATTTGGGGGCTGGCCTCTTCCTCTTTCTCTTTGCCTGCCACTCACAATGAGGTGTGCAGCTTAATGAGCCACATGCTCACCTCCCTGCTGCGATGTCCCCCACACCCCAATAAAGGTGGTTAGGTGAGCATGGATTAAGTCTCAAAAAATAAGATGGGAAGCAATTTCGGAAAACACCAGACATGGATGTTTGGGCACACACACACCACACCTGTACACACACACTCTGCACTGTGTGCCTAAGCCTCACGAGGACCCTGCTGTTATTTGTATGATCTTCTTTCTATAAACGAGGAAACTAATGGACAAAGAGGTTGAAGATTTTGCCCAAGGTCACACTGCTCTTTGAGCCCACACCCTGGCACTGTCCCTGTGTCTACTGCCCTTGGTTTGAGCTCTTAACTCCCCTCTGTACCAGCACACATACCCAGAGCAGATGCTTAATAAATATTTGTTGAATACTTGAATGACTGCAACAAACTGTACCATTTAAGTCAACAACCGGCTATGGATGAAAAAGCAGCATACACACAGTCCATAAGACTAAACGTCTATGACTATTTATGGCTTTCATCTGGGCTGGGACACAAATTGTACTTTTGTGTAAGGAGACATTAGAAGGGCTTGAATAGTGGGAGTTCTAGCCTGCCTCTACCCAGAGGGGTAGGAGTGACAAAAGTGGCCCAGTATATCATTAGAACTATGACGTTTGCAGTGTGGATTCTGGAATGCGGACACGGTAAAAATAGAAACCAGGTAAAATCTAACAATGTCTGGTATATTTACTAGTCTGGTTCCAATGTTGGCTTCCTGGTGTTGACAGATAGAGTATGGCCACACCATCTGTGGACACTAGGGAAATGGAAGGAGTGAATATGTGGAAGGCCTCTGTGCTCTCTTTGATACCATTCTGTAGAACTAGCATCATTCCAGAGTCAACATGTACTTTAAAAACCCATAATTGGCCAGGCACAGTGGTGCATGCTTGGAATCCCAGCACTCAGGTAGGCAGAGGCAGGTGGATCTCTGTGAGTTCAAGGCCAGCCTGGTCTAACAAAGCGAGTCCAGGACAGCCAAGGCTATACAGAGAAACACTGTCTTGAAAAACCTAAAATAAATAAGCAAGCAAGCAAGCAAGCAAGCAAGCAAGCAAACAAACAAAACCATCACTGAGCCAGAGAGATGGCTCAGGGTTTAAGGGTGCACATTACACCTGCAGAGGACCTGAGTTTGGTAACTAGACCCCATGTCCTATGGTGCACACCCACCTGCAAATGGGACAGCACATGCTTCTGGCCTCCATGCACACCTGCACTCACATGCATACCCTTATTCACACACACACACACACACACACACACACACACACACACACACACACACACA